CTGGGTCCCAGCCGATGATTACTCGCCGGTGATTGAGGAGCATTACTGACAGAGGGAGAGTAAACAATACAGTTCTCTCCACTGTCAGCTCCTGCACACTGCTATGTATGGCTTTGCATAGCAGTGTGCATACAGTGAAGCAGTTAACCATTTGATCTCCCCTCATGTTAACCCCTTCCTGCCCAGTGCCATTAGTACAGTGTCAGTGCTTATTAGCACTGATCACTGTATTGGTGTCACTGGCGATGTCAGTGACACCAAGTCAGTACCCCCCCCCCCCCCACCGTGTAAGAATGCCTGCCGCAGTCCCACTATAAGTAGCTGATCACTGCCATTACTAGTAAAAATAAAAAAATACAAAAAAAATCCCAGAACTTTTGTAAAGGATCCTTTCATATATTCTCCTTATTCTGCTGTGCCTGTGAGTCCCTGTGTCTTCATCTAATGAATTAATCTTCATGTCCCAGAGGAATTCCTTTGATTCTGGATCGTTGGATGGTTCTGAAGAATCGCTGTTGCTTTTCAAAACAGCACATGGACTCGGCAACCCTGCTGCGTTTTGGTGATATCGGTGACAGCTGGCATCCACTGCTAACCCCAGGAGCTGGAGATCATCTGGTGGGTTAAGCTGGTCATACATGGATCAAATTTGCTACTTTTCCTGCTGAATCAGCTAAAATTCGATCCGTGGTGGCCATGCTGGCAACATCCAGCTCAACAAACTTAGAGACGAAGATCAAAGGAGCTGAACAGAAATTTGTCAGCCAAACCGTGAATGCATCCAATAATCTGCCATGCCTGTTCAGATATTTTGATAGCCGTGGGCATCAGTCATCAGAATACAACAGTCAGCAGGGGAGATTCTTGCATTGGCTTTTCAGCATGGTTGGAGAAATGTGTGTGTATGGTCAATTTAACAGTCATGCTGCAGACAGATCCATTGGAAGAGACACTTCCCTCCTCTGCAATTTGTTTACATAGAAAGTAAGCTGACACTCCTCCTGTAGTGATTTATTGCTGCAAAGTTCCATGGAGGTCTGGATCATGTTGGTCTCCATTGAACACATCAAGCCTCCCTCATGAATTACACAGTGCTCAGCATAAATGAGTACACCCCTTTTGAAAAGTAAGATTTTAATCAATATCTCAATGGACACGAGAACAATTTCCAAATTGACAAAACTGAGTGTTTATAGAACATCTGTTTAGCTCATTACATGAAAGTAAGGTTAATCATAATATAACTTGGATTACAAAATCCTCAGTTTTACCCAAATTAGTTGATGCAAAAATGAATACACCCCACAACAATAACTACTACATCTAGTATTTTGTATGACATCATTTGTAAGGACAGCACCAAGTCTAGATATGGAAAGAACAAGTTGGTGCATATTGTAACATCTTTTCCCATTCTTCAAGAATGATCCCTTTTAGAGCCTTGATGCTGGATGGAGAGTGATGCTCATCTTGTTTCCTCAGAATTCCCCATACAGAATGGGTTCAAATCAGGAGACACACTGAATCACTTTCACCCTGTTCTTCTTCACAGATGCCTTAGATGTGTGTTTTCGATCATTGTCATGTTTGAAAAGTGCACGACGACCAAGGGCACGGAGTGATGTTGGCATCTTCTCTTTCAGTATAGAGCAATACATCTGTGAATTTGTGATGCCATCAATGAAATGCAGCTGCATGACACCAGTAGCACTCATGCAGCCCCACTGAAGGACACTGTTTCCCTTTAGGCACCATCCATTTTTTTTTGTACTCCTCTCATTTGCGATGCCATACAGTTTTGAAGCCATCAGTTGCAAAAACATTTATCTTGGTGTCATCACTCCTGAGTACAGGAGTCCCAGTAGACTGTCTTTTTCAGCATGGGCCCTGGCAAATTCTAGGGGGGCTTTTTTGTGCATGGGCTTTAGGAGAGTCTTCCTTAATGGACGATACCCATGCATGCCATTCCTCTGTAGTGTACGCCGTATTTTGTCATGGGAAACAATCACCCCAGTTTGGTTTTCTACTTCTTCAGCAAACTGGAGTGAACTTGCATGGTGATTTTCTTCAACCTTTCTTATCAGAAGATGCTCCTGTCGAAGTGTTAACCTCCATGGATGGCCTGGGCGTCTCTGTGAGATTGTTGCAATTCCATCTTTGTTAAATGTTTGTATCACTTTTACTACAGTAATCTGATAAGTAAAGCTTTGCTGATCTTGTAGCTTTCACCTTTCTTGTCTAAAGAAATTATTTTCTCTCAGGCCTTGTGACATTTCTCTTCCATGTGGTGCCATTGCTGACAGCATGAAATGGGAAGGGGTTTTCTTTGTTAAGTAACGCCCTTTTATAATCATCTGTCTGCTGGGGGACACCTGTTTAATGAATAATTAAGACTCACCTGTAGTTGAATTCTTGTTAATTAGGATTTTGTTGTCTAACATTTAGCTTTGCTCCTAAGACTTTCATTGGGGTGTATTCATTTTTGCGACATGGTCTTGAATGCCTAGCCTTAAGGAAACCGGTCATCAGAAAAATATGTAGGCTTCCATTCCTAAGCCCTCCGGGAAATGCTAAGTTGCCAAGCTCTCCCCATGGCATCACTACATTTTTAACTCACGGACCTGGAACAAGCATGCAGCTAGGAAAAGGCAGAAATTCCAGTTGCTATGGGTGCTTCAGTTAAGATTGAAAATGAAAGGCAGGCAACATGCTCGGAAGAAGCTGGGCATGAACAGCCTCCTGTCAGGTTTCATTTAGGCCCAGCACACATAGGCTTCAGTTTGCATAAGAGGAGTGTGTACATAAAGAGCTTTCAGCTGCTTTATCAAAGTTTTTAAAGTACCCTTCAGCTCCAGTCTAGGGATGTTTCCTCCTTCCTTCCCATTGACCATATGCATACAAATGGCAGGACAGAGGTAGGCCTTATTCTGTGCTGCCACATACAGTACTGTGCCAAAGTTTTAGGCAAGTGTAAAGAAATGCTGTATAGTAAGAAAACAATTACAATATATATATTTTAATTGTTATCAATTTACAAAATGCAAGTGAGTGAACAGAAAAAAAATTAAATCAAAATTTGGTGTGACTACCCTTTGCCTTCAAACCAGCATCAGTTCTTAAACTTGCCCACTTTGTACACTTACAGTCAGGTGTATGATTAACCAATTATCCCAAGCAGGTGCTAATGATCATTTTCACATGTAGGTTAAAATGCAGTCAATAATAGAAACAGCTGTGTTTAACCACTAGCCTACAGGGCACTTATACCCCCTTCCTGCCCAGGCCAATTTCCAGCTTTCAGCGGTGTCACACTTTGACAAATTCGCGGTCATGCAACACTGTACCCATATGAAATTTTTATCATTTTTTTGAGACAGATAGAGCTTTCTTTTGGTGGTATTTAATCACCTCTGGGATTTTTATTTTTTCTTAAACAAACCAAAAACCACTGAAAATTTTGAAAAAACGTTTTTTCTTAGTTTTTGTTATACAATTTTGTAAATAAGTGATTTTTCTCCTTCACTGATATGCGCTAAGGAGGCTGCAGTGATGGGTGATCTGCACTGATAGGTTTCACTGATGGGCACTGAAAGGCAGCACTGATACATGACACTGATAGGCATTGATAGGTGACACTGAAGGGCACCTCAGATGGTCACTGATGTGCACTATGTGGCATTGATGGGCACTGATAAACATTGACAGGTGGCACTTCTGGGGCCACACTAATCATCAGTGCCCTGATGATCAGTGTACATATCCCCTCCGCGGAAAGCCGATTACCGCCTCTCCTCTCGAGCTGTCAGCGTGACAGCTCGAGAGGAGAGAAATGCCGATAACCAGCATGTCCGTGTTTACATGTGATCAGCTGTGATTGAACACAGCTGATCACATGACCGAGCCGACATGTTCGGCTGTTTCCGTGATCCGCTGTGTCCGAGGGACACAGCGCACTGGCGATCGCCACACTGCGCGCTCCCTGAGGAACACATGCGCGGTGAGACTGGAAGGACGTCATATGACGTCCAGTCAGAACGAGAGAACCACCTTGCGCCCGGCCTTGTACTATAGGGCGGGCGGAAGGTGGTTAAAATTGGGTAAGGAACAGCCAAACTGCTATTAAGGTGAGGTTCTGGAAGACAGGTTCATGGCACAGGGAATTCACCATAGCACAGCAACAAGGCAGCTATACTGCATCAGCAAGATTTCAACAAGCGTTGTTCAAGCTCCTTTGAAGATGCACAAATAAAGAGACCACAGTAGGGACCATAGACGCAGTGGTTGGCCATGGAAACTTAATGCAGCAGATGGAAAAAAGCATCAAGCTTACTTGCCTTTGACATCAGAAGATGTCCAACAGTGCCATCAACACAGAACTGAACTGGTGGTAACCAGTGGGCTCTAGGTACAACCATCTACGGTCTGGGAGAGTCTGGCCAAGTGGTCTTCATGGAAGAATTACAGCCAAAAAGCCATACCTCTGACGAGGAAACAAGGCTAAGTGACTCAACTATTTTATTTATAGGTAACGTTGATCCAGGGAATATCCGATTGCCTCTTGGGGGATCAGGAAGGACTTTTTTTCCCCCCTGCAAGAGAAAATTGGATCATGCTTTGCTGGGCTTTTTGCCTTCATCTGGATCAACTGTGGATGTAAGATTATAACTTTTTTTTTTTCATGGTTGAACTGGATGACATGCTCTGAAGGCGACGAGTTTTATTTCTTCCCTGCTTTATCAAAATTAGTGAAAAGGTTTTCAGCGTTACTGCTGAAAGCTCATATCCTCATATCTTTCAGCATAAGAGCATGCAGGGATTTGTGGTCCCTTAGCATCACAACTTGATGATTATTATCCATGGTAAAGCAGTTTTTGTTTCAGAACCTGTCACTCATTTTTGTGTGTCCTGCACACTTCCAATAACTTTTGAAATAAATTATTTCTCCACACATCCAAAAATAGGTTGCATATCCCCAGCTGCTTCAAATGCCATTGTGGATTCTAATCAAAATAATCTTCAATGTCAATGTTTGGATCCAGTAGGTTCTCTCCATATGCTGACAGGTCCATCTGATTTAACATTAAGTTCTCAAATGTTTCCTCCAAGTCCGTCTCCCCGAGCAGCACTGCCCCCACCATGCGGCCATTCTGCATCACTACTTTGACATACTCCTGTCCCTTGGTACAGCGCAGCATCAGTTCATGGTCCAAACCCAGACCCTGTGCATTGTACTTCCCCAGCAGAATCACCTGAACAAGCAGAGAGAAGGTTAAAAGAGTATTACAAGAATACAGTATATCTGATCAACTAAAAATATTCAGAGTCTAAGTGTTACCTGGGAGTAGTAGACCGTAACACAACAAAACTATAAAAACACTATAACATGTAACTTTAAAAGCATTAATACAGCCTTAAATGTAATTTAATGCAAGCAGTGAAGTATCTAGCTGGCTTAGTATCAGTCTTTTGCGGTCCCTGTACAGCAGAGCAGAATGAGGAAGAGATGGAATAATCAGTCTGCCGCTACTCCTCTTACTGTCCTGGAGAATGGACAAAACCAGTACATGTCATTGAACTGCAGCTTAGAAAACTCAATGCTCCTGTCTTGCTGGACAGACCTGTGTGTATAGCAGAGCTGTGTAAATCCCAGGACTAGATGGATAGAATTACAAATCCTTTGACAGCTTATACAGCTCCCACATATGTATTTCATCTGTGAAATACATTTTTCAGGATTTAGCATTCAAGGGAAGTGTTCTATTAATGTGAAAATGTACAGAAAATCCTGATCTTCAAATGACAGTTTTTTAAAGGGGTAGCTCCATCCAAGTTAGATCCCAATATGCCTGGCAATGCTAGAGGTGGCCACAGATTTCTCACTCCTAGGCTTCCATGCACCTGATGTTACAGCCCCACGCAATATACTTATGATGTTCTGCCCCCTTCTGTGCGCAAAAGTACACTTGAATCTCCCCTATCTCGCCATGCCCATTTGAGTACAATAAGACCTGCTAAATCTAAAAAGACATTCCCTGGTCATGAACAAATAAAATGGCCAATTTATGATGGCTGGATCATGCGAAAAGATTTTTACACATACAGAAATAATTGCCAAGCTCTATCCAGTGGGGATAAAAAAAAACCTTACAAACAAGGTCGGTCTTGTAGTAGACCCTGCCATCTCAGCCTTAAGAAAAACATCTCACTGTTCCAACTGAAGATGTTCCTTTATTCAAAAGATTTGAATAAAACATTTCAGCCGCTCTTAAAGGCTCTCATTACTCTAAAAGACCCAGCTCTGCAACCAGTTATTGCTGCAATTTCTGTCTGCCAAACCACAGCTAATTGGACTGGGCAATAAACAACCAACATGATCCTGTATTCCAGGACTGTACCCCAACTGAGTAAATCACAGTTATCTTCTGCTTTTCTCTTTTGTGAGCATTCCCTAGAGAAAATCGTGTCAACTTTTCAGAATGGCTCAGATTTCCATTCATATATGCAGAATTTTGTGGCTCAAAGCCTGATAAGCTGAGAATGCCTTTAAAAGATGCCTCACATGTATGCCCTTTGAAGGAGGAGGACATATTTTTGATGAGGCCCTTTACAAATTCATCAGAGATGATACAGGAGGAAAAGTTCTTCCCCAGCAGAAAGTTCAGAAATCCCCTTCATAAAGAGCATCTCCCTCCACAAAACACAAAGTATCTCAGCACTCTTCAACTTCTAAGCCTAAATTCAGATTTTCCTTTCAGTGCAAGACTTAGAAAAACCCACCAAGTCATCTCTAAAGCTTTCTTTTCCCAGTGAAAGGGTGACCTCACTCCTCCACTCTTACTAAGAGTGGGGAGAGATGTGTTACAGTTTACCCATATCTCGGTCACTGACATCCCAAACCTCTGGGTTCAAATAGGTTTCAAAGGGGTACAAAATACAGTTAAAAAAATCCTACCTCCTTGCTGCTTTCTTCTCTCAAATCAGCCAAAATCTGCCCAGGCAAGTCGTATTTGCAGAATGCTCTGAACCATCCTTTGTCCCAGAAAGTTGTTGCCAGAACCGCAAAGGATTCTATTCAAACATGTTTACAGTACCAAAACCCAACGATGGTATCCATCCTATCAAGGACCTAAAATTCCTATCAAAATACCTTCCAATTCCAAAGTTCACATGCAATCTGCAAGGTCAGTTCTTACCCCTCTATAACAATGGGAATACCTGGCTTTTTTACACATCCAAATAGTCTATTAGCATATTTCCATTTACCCACCTCATCAGCACTTTCTACATTTTGCAGTAGGAGACAAATCATTTCCAGTTTGTAGCACTGCCATTTGGCCTATCCTTTGCTCCCAGAGCATTCACAAAAGTCCTTGCAACTCGTCCTGCCCTTCTAAGAACTCGGGGCATCCAAATCACAGGATACCTAGATGACTTTCTTTTGAAGGACTCATCTCCCTTTCAGCTAACTGCAAATTATTATTTTCATACAGGATTTATATAGTGCCAACAGTCTGCACAGCCCTTCAAAGGGATCTGTTCATTAGAGCTTACAATCTAAAAGGCCACAGTCCTCACTTCAGATGGTTCAGGCTTACGGTTGGCTGATCAATCTGCTCTTCAACCTTATTATACAGGATTTATACCTTCTTGTCACCTGGAGATTTTGGGCCAGATTCTAAGCACAGCCCAAGCATTACTCTTCTTTCCAGAGTATTGCTTTCAGAACCTGGGCCTCAAGATGAAAGAAACGCCCTTCTGTGAAATTCTCCAAGAGAGTTCTGGGTCTCACAGTGGTCTCCTTTGATGCTGTCTCTTGATCTACCCATGCTCCTATACAGTCATGCAAGGAACTCCCTAGTTGGTGGATCTTCAACCCAGACTTGACAATGGAGAAGTGGTTTCTATCATATCCCTGCAAGGCGATAAACGACAGATGCCAGTCTTTCAGGCAAGGGAGCAGTGTTGCAATCCCTCACAGTGCAGGGAACATGGTCACCAGAGAAATCTAAACTCCCATCAACATCCTGGAAATCAGAGCAATAAAGGATGGCTCTGCACCACTGGATATTCCATTAGATGCAAAAGTGGTCTTCCTGGTTGCTATCACAACTATAAGAGGTGTATCTGAGCTAGTGGATCTCTGTTATAAGCAGCGGTTCTTCATTATTCACAAGAACATAACACTCTTACCCCACAAGACCATCCTTTCTTCCTAAGGTGCTATCAGTATTCAACCAGTGTGTCGCTGGGTAGAGAGAAACCAGCAAACTTATGAGCTGTAAGGATAGATCGAAGGGAGGTGGCGTCTTATCATACTTGTTAAGTATGTTAACTAATGATCCAACACTACATGTATCACATGTATCATGTATGATGTACTGTGTGTCAGGCTGTATAGGGGTATATAAGAATTGGTACCATGTGGGCCATGTATTATGTGTGTTGGGCTTTACAGGGGTATACAAGGATTGGCTTTTCCTGCACCTTGTAGTTGAAGAATTTGGTAACATGTGCAAAGAGTTCAAAGCAGAAATCCATTTCAATCTTCTCCCCAAGGTGGTCAGCTGCCATACACTTTGCTGCATACCAGCCCATCTGCCGTGCTTGCGTCCACAACCTCATCTGTAAGAGAATATATTATTAGGTATAAGCAGTGGGGTCATATTTCCATTGCTGCCCATTTAGTTTTACTTCTCCATCACTGTCACAAAATCATTAGAATGAATTCTAGCTGTTTTTCACAATACGTACTTGCTGCCAGAGTGGGCTTGGTGTCCAGGCTGCAGTGCAGATGTCACCAGCAGCATATACATTGGGCACTGATGTCCGCATGTGGTCATCCACCTTCAGACCTCCATCTTCCCCAACGTCAAACTGAAATCCGGATTTAAATGAAAAAAATTAAACACAAAAACTAAGTTGATATGAATACAATGAGAGAAGACTTTGTAGAACAGTAGCTGCAGGATCAGTTCAACCCAAAATCAGATTTAATTTCCAATGTTAGAAAAAAATTTTATTTGGGTTTCATATTCCTGTGTATTGGGGAAATTATATGGAGTTCAAAAAAATACTGAAATGTGGAAAAAATATTTTCTTCTCACATTATTACCAGGAAGAAATGGCTCGATGTTCGGGACCACTCCTGTAGCACTGATGATGAAATCACAGCCGTACAGTTTTCCATTTGTCAGTTCTACATAAACTGGCCATTCAACTGAAAAACACAATAAGCAATATTGTGAAATTATATAATTATATATAAATAAAAATCATTGTCACTGAAAGGACAGGGTAAAAAGCTGAACTCTGGTAAAATGTCGAAAATACACATGCAATGGGGCTCCACCACACTGCAAGGGTTAAATGCTCGTTTTTGCCTATGGTATCATTAAAAGCACCTTTTTCCCCCCCTGATCCCTGCTTCTGCAGGTTTCCACCCTTTTCATGCAAATGATCCCCTGACGTTGATTCCCTTTTGGCGCTGCGTTGCTGGGCTGGTCGTAGGCATGTTGACAAGCTGTCCTGCATTACAAGTGAGGATGCAGAAGGCCCACCCATAACTAGAGCATCAGAGGGAAGAGGAGAGTGCTGGAGCCAGGGGAGTTAGGGATAAGGGAAGTGAAAACCTTTTAATGGTACCCGGAGTAAAAGCAAGCTTTTAACCCTTTACATGTTGCTTTAGTTTAGCTTTAAAGACTCCACATACAGAAGGCGCCAGATCTCCGAACATTGCAACCATTCATCTGATATAGTTCACTAACTTTTCCTGCTTTGCTGCTGAGACCTGTTAATAAAAGTAACATATATGGCAAAAAAAAAGAGGTGCAGACAGAGCAGTGTGGGAAAGAAGGGATTGGCACAAACAACATATATTGAACGAGCAGTGGAGAGATTGTCAGGAGTGGAGGAACCAATGTGACGAGAACCAAGTGACATCATCGCAATGTTGGCTGTTCCTCCAGGCACTAGGACATTATGTGGGAACAGCTTGGAATATCCCATCACACATTCAAATTGAAGAAAGTCAGACCAGCAGCAAGGTGAATCTTTGCACCCTGCATTTTATTAGCTGCAATACTTGCCTATGCCAGAAGTAGTGCTGTGCTCTGGAGCATGTCTGTAGGCAACAGTGTGGGCCGGGACATTCAGCAGCTTGAATTCATCACTCAGGAGGATCCTCTCTACTTCACATTCCATCTCTGTTTGGACACAGTGGGAGAACTGCAGGCAGAAGAGAGAGGATGGTGACACCAGAAATGGCTGTCGACAGGACAAGTGTCCCCAATTATGGTGTACTCACTTGCTGTGCAACCTTCAGATTCATCCCCTCATGCCAGTCAGGCCCCAGTGCACTGCCCAGTTGGGACTCCTTTCTCTCTGAAATTAAAAAAAAAAAAAATATGATGTGGCAGGCAGCAACCCCTGCTAACCAATCCCAGAGCAGGCAGAACCAGGAATCTTTACCAATGCAAAGACAATACGGTTTATACTGATACCGTATTGCTTACTGTTCTTCCATTTACCCAGATTGCAGGTTATATTTCCTGCTGCTGCCAGCTACATGACAATGGCAAGACGTGAATCAGCTGGAGGCTATAACATTCAACAGTGCTAGCCAATCAGCAGCTCATTCAAAATCCAATCCTTGCCTTTGACAGCATTGATGTGATCAATGCTTGGCCGAAAAGAAGAATATATAGCTTTGGGTTGGGGAGAATGGGAAGGGGGAGGAACTTGGAATAATAAGAATTTCTGATCTGGTGAAAGGTTAATTCCGCTGGCCAGGTGACCCTGTACAAATGGCTGACATTCTTATATTTTCTCTGTTATCTCCTCACTACTGGGCAAAACAGTGGAATTTTATGTGATGTCTCAAGGTATACAGTAGATGGACAAGAGGCTGGGTATGCTGCATGTGAGATTGTCCTCCGATTCCTCCAGGGTAGAGGTTGGGATATACCTGCCACATATGGATGGCCCCAATTCCTCAGTGGAATGTAGGAATGCTGGGAGTTGTAGTTCTCAGATTCCTCCAGGGAGGAGAATGGAAAAAAAAACTGCCATGTGTGAATGGCCCCAAAACTTCAGTGGGATATAGGAATGCTGGGAGTTGTAGTCCCCATGTCTGTATGTATTGTACATCACAACCCCGTGCAGGACTGTTTTATTGACTGCTGTGTTTGGGTATTTTCACTTGTTCCCAAGAATCATGGGTAAACTTTCATTAGAGATTTCAGGTAATTATTAAAACACACTACATAAAGGAAGGGGGGGGGGGTTTCCTGCAGGCTGCTGCTTAAACTGAACTTATTCATAAATAAGACTTTTCCACTCTAGAAGAATGGCCACATTCACAAAGCACATTTGCCTTCACCTATTCGCGCATTCTGGACAAATTAAGCAATTTTTGTCTAACATGTAAATTTCCTATTCTATGGGCTGTCCAGATCTTAGTAATAATCATCATAGTTACAATACAGTGAGTATTGGACTACATTAGTGTAGCCCCTCCGCTTGTTTTCTGAATCTACCTATTGGTTAGAGAGGAAAACCATGACACTGAAGGGCCAACTGAAAAGATATCTTCATTTAATATTTTTATAGGAAAACGGAAGTTTGCATACAATTCAATCAGCCAACAGCACAGTGGCTTAGTGGTTAGCACTTGCGGCTGTATCACCTCTGCCACTCACCTCCAGTGGGCTCTGTGGTATACTTGGTTCTCTTGCAGGCCAAGGGAGTCTCTTGTTTATCAGATCTCAGTTGTGGGATGAGGAATTCAGCAGCTCCGGCATCAAAGAATGTGTTCCCGATGGACTTGTCTTTCACTGCCCAGATCACTTCACAACCCTCAATTTCATATCTGAAAGTAAAAACACAGACATACCACTCATCAGTCAGTCTACAGGCCACTGTATGGCTTGCTTCCTGGGACAAGCCCACTGCCTCACAGCAATCTGCAGAAATCACAAGACTCCACTTCATCTGTTCAATAATACAATATATACAAGCACAGCCAGGTACAGATTGCTTTACATGTTCCCGCTGGAGACATCCCTTACGGTCAGTCCCCATGATGGGCGTCATTGAGACAGGAAGTGCAGGAAATACTGCCAAAGGGATGTACAGAACACTTTTGTACCTTAAGTAGAGAGGGGAAGAGCTACATCTATCAGCTTTTTGTTCTTGTGTACCTACATGGAAATTTTTCCCTCAATGGGTGTCACCTGCACAGAAAGAGAGAAGAACTCCCCTACTGCGGTTAAAAAAAATTATATTTTCTGTTGCATTCAGGACTACATTTATACATTCACACACTCCAAATTATCTCTGGATCCATAGCAAAATTATATTTCAAAGTCTTCTCAAATATATAAACCACATTTTCCATACACTCACCAGGTGAAATATATATATATTCCCTGACATTTGCCAACATCTGGTCTTCCAGAGAGCTTAATATAACAATTAGCCTGTTTATATGGACTATGGGGAGTGTCACTCCAAAATTCCTTGTAATAACTGAGCCAATATTTGGAGTCGCACCTAATATTGATGTCACAGCAAAACTCCAGGAAAAAAAAAAATGTAGTGCCAAATCTGCCTCACTTTTTCCCAATTGAAGAGTGAGGAAGAAGAAAGAGTATCATCCCTGTTCTTGGATATAAGGTATTAAATTTATTCGTAATTGCATCTTTGTGTAAACAACTTTTTCACACCCATGCGCACAATGAAGCTTTTAGGGGTCCAAGTTCATCAGCAAGGAGGCAACCAGTAACTTGCACTCATGAGACAGGTGGGAGGGACATAAGCTTCCCCTTGTCAGCAACCTCTCCTGGGCAATGGGATTGTAAAAAGGCCCACCAACACTGGTGCATTATGAGGATGCTCCCTTTAATATGAAACTGCCTCCTCCAGTGATAAATGCCATATAGGTTAATAGCACCTGAAGAATGCATTCTCACTTTGCCCTTGCTCTGAGCAAACAAGGCCTAACACCCGTCAAGCCAGGCTGGTACTGTCTAAGAGGAGGCATACTTTTTTCCTACTTTAAAAAAAAAAAAACACAATTTAACATTTGTTCCTCAAATGCTGAAACTGTTAAAAACATAATTTCAACACAAAGGAGAGCAACAGGAGGCTGAATTAAAACAGTTTACTGTAAATGTTACATCTGCTAGTATTCAATTCTTCCTGTGTGCGCTGAAATGGCATACAGAGACACTTACACCAGTTCCAGTGCAATTCCTCCGTTCCCCACAATAACCACCCGTTTAGCCTTAGCCAGGCGACTCTGGAAGGTCTGAAATCCAGGAAGGAAAGAATGACAAGGTTGTTATATTTCCCCACCATAGTCACACACTCTTATAATTATACATTTTTATAAACACAGAAATCAAAAAGTGTTCAAAGATTCTAGGGGGCACAAGACACTATTCCAGAAACATATGAATTACATTAAATCTCTTCCAAAAAGGTCCAAAAAGATTCCTCAGATCAATAAAAGTGCTTCAAAGGTGCAAATAGAGTCGATAGTGTAAATTCAACACTTCTCTCTGTAAAGATGGTCTTTCATCAACACTGGAACCCAGAGATATCCATAGCGGTGGCTCCTCAAATGTTAGGCAGAAAAAGAACATTACCATAAAAATGCTTAAAATATATTCATCTTCGATATTACTAATCACAAACGTTAAAATCGTAGGCATATCAAATTGCAGATGAATCATATAGCAGCATTAGCCGGCTATCAGTCACGTCTCCTGTATGAATGCCAGTAGTGCAGCGTCTCACCCGACTCCTCAATGTGTCTGGGTCTCTATGTCACTTCAGGATGGCGCGTGATGTCACTTCCGGTCACCGTGCAGCTGCAAATTTTTGCACCTTTGAAGCACTTTAAGTTATCTGGGAAATCTTTTTGTGACTTTTTTGCAAGAGATTGTTTTGTATTAATAGGATTCTGGAATAGTGTCTTGCACCCCCTGGAATTTACGAACACGTTTTGATTTCTGTTTTAAAACATTGTTTTTATTAAAGGGGCTGCAGAAAGACATCACATTTTATTGGGAAGTTATATCTATTTACTTTGAAGCCAATATTTTTCTCATAGTGCGGCATTAACTGGTGTATTATACATTTTTACAGCTTTGACATATTCTGCAGTGTTTTACAGAGAACACTGAGCCAATCACATCAGCCTCTGAACCAGAGGAGCTTACACTCTGTGTCCTTTCACAGTCACACAATATTATAGATTTATATAACTCTGACATGCTCCACAGTGCCGCACAGAGAACACCAAGCCAGTCACATCAGTCTCTGCACCAGAAGAGACTCCCCTTAATGTCCTAATACAGTCCCCTGCTACTATTATTATACATTTATTGTCCTGGCCTGTGTATTTTAGCCCATTGACAGACACTGTGTTTATACAGGTGAAACTCGAAAAATTAGAATATCGTGCAAAAGTTCATTTATTTCAGTAATGCAACTTACAAGGTGAAACTAATATATGAGATAGACTCATTACATGCAAAGCAAGATAGTTCAAGCCGTGATTTGTCATAATTGTGATGATCATGGCTTACCACTCATGAAAACCCCAAATCCACAATCTCAGAAAATTAGAATATTGTGAAAAGGTGCAATATTCTCGGCTCAAAGTGTCCCACTCTAATCAGCTAATTAAGCCATAACACCTGCAAAGGATTCCTGACCCTTTAAATGGTCTCTCAGTCTGGTTCAGTAGGAATTACAATCAAGGGAAAGACTGCTGACCTGACAGTTGTGCAGAAAACCATCATTGACATCCTCCATAAGGAGGGAAAGCTTCAAAAGGTAATTGCAAAAGAAGTTGGATGTTCCCAAAGTGCTGTATCAAAGCACATTAATAGAAAGTTAATGTCGAAGGGAAAAGTGTGGAAGAAAAAGGTGCACAAGCAGCAGGGATGACCGCAGCCTGGAGAGGATTGTCAGGAAAAGGCCATTCAAAAGTGTTGGGGACTTTCACAAGGAGTGGACTGAGGCTGGAGTCAGTGCATCAAGAGCCACCACACACAGACGGATCCTGGACATAAGCTTCAAATGTCGTATTCCTCTTGTCAAGCCGCTCCTGAACAACAAACAACATCAGAAACATCTTACCTGGGCTAAAGACAAACAGACCTGGTCTGTTGTTCAGTGGTCCAAAGTCCTCTTTTCTGATGAGAGCAACTTTTGCATCTCATTTGGAAACCAAAGACCCAGAGTATGGAGGAAGAATGGAGAGGCACACACTGCGAGATGCTTGAAGTCCAATGTGAAGTTTCCACAGTCTGTGTTGATTTGGGGAGCAATGTCATCTGCTGCTGTTGGTCCACTGTGCTTCATTAAGTCCAGGGTCAATGCAGCCGTCTACCAGGAGATTTTGGAGCACTTCATGCTTCCTTCCGCAGACGAGCTTTATGGGGATGCTGACTTCATTTTCCAGCAGAACTTGGCACCTGCCCACACTGCCAAAAGCACCGAAACCTGGTTCAATGACCGTGGGATTACTGTGCTTGATTGGCCAGCAAACTCGCCTGACCTGAACCCCATAGAGAATCTATGGGGCATTGCCAAGAGAAAGATGAGAGACATGAGACCGAACAATGCAGAAGAACTGAAGGCCGCTATTGAAGCATCCTGGTCTTCCATAACACCTCAGCAGTGCCACAGGCTGATAGCTTCCATGCCATGCCGCATTGAGGCAGTAATTGCTGCAAAAGGGGCCCAAACCAAGTACTGAGTACATATGCATGCTTATACTTTTCAGAGGTCCGATATTGTTCTATGTACAATCCTTGTTTTGTTGATTACATGTAATATTCTAATTTTCTGAGATTGTGGATTTGGGGTTTTCATGAGCTGTAAGCCATAATCATCACAATTATGACAAATCATGGCTTGAACTATCTTGCTTTGCATGTAATGAGTCTATCTCATATATTAGTTTAACCTTTTAAGTTGCATTACTGAAATAAATAAACTTTTGCACGATATTCTAATTTTTCGAGTTTCACCTGTATATACACACATACAGTACATAAGCTATGGTTGATAGTTCATAAACCAGAACAGAATGTGCACTGCCTAGCCATGCCACCAAGGGGCAGCATCTTTACATACACAACTTTAGCTAAAAGTCATTGAAAGAGATAACTAAACCCTCTAAGGAATGTATAATGAAAGACAATGTCCCACTCCCCCAACTCAGTAACTAATTCCAAGCGTGAGCTCTACAACCCCCTAACCCCCAACTCGACTTTGCAAATAAAAATTCTCATTATAGATGGGGGAGAAATCAGATGAACCTTCTGGAACTGAATGCTGTATACATGAAAACTCTATTAGATATCAGTGAAGAAAATCCCTCCCACATCTTTATGAGGGGTGTTTGTTTGCTCGGCTAAGAATCATGCTATTTACAATAGGGCACTGCCTGATTTTTTAAAATGGGAATTGTTCAGATAAAAGACTTCTCGAACAGGTTGGAGTGCTGTGTTTTATTCTTGTTATAATTCCTGATTTGTGGTTAATAAGGTTGTTCTCTGGGGGCTCTCATACATTGCCTATTACACAGCCCATCACACGGCTTCACTCAGTGGCCACCTACCTTAGCACTGTCTGTGTCACGTATCCCCAGCACATAGGGGTTCCCATCCATGATGAGCTTGGGTCTTGCACCAGCACACAGACACAGCCTGTCATAGGTGTACTGTCTTCCATCCTCCGTAATCACTTGCTAGGAATAATTTATATAGATCAGAAAATGAAGCATCGGGCCTTGTGATCAGACAGTAGATACAGAAAGGAAACACCTTTAAGCGCTGCAGGTACTTCATATACTGTGCAGTTATCCAGGAGCTCGACACTCTGGGAACTTCAACACTCAGGGAGCATAGATAGCCAAATCCAAACTGGCCCCTGTGGCTGAGATCTGAAAGCTGACCTTTGATTTCTCTAAACACTGTGACCTTCACACAGTGTGCTTTAGAAGCTGCAGCAAGTCAGGTAGAGCCCACCTCATTTGGTAGGTGAAGGACATCTAGTATCATCCAGCTCTTTCCTTCCCAACACCCCCTCCAGTAGAATGACATTTATCCACCATGGCAATATATTGATATACTGTATATTTGCAGGTTTATGAACATTAAAACATTGAATAAAGAACTTTATGAAAAATAAGCAACTGTTACGTAATCAGCTTCCTCTTGGGGTACCCCAGATTCTCCATCCTTGGGCCCTTTCTATATTCTCTCTAGACCACTTCCGCTGGCCAGTTGACAACCACCCACAGTTTCCAATACCACCTCTATGCTCCTCAGATCACCCCCTTGATCTCCTCATGTATCATTAATTTACTGAGCGACATATCAGTATGGATGTTACACCACTTCCTCAAACTCAAGCCAAAACTGAGCTTGTAATATCCCCGATCCCCCTCTGCTTGACTTTATCATTGAGATCTAATATCATAACTAAATCTTTCCACCTTAACCTCTGTAACATTTCCAAAATTTGCCCCTTCTTAACAAAGACACCACAAAACTACTAATTCACTCCCTGATCATCTCTTGACATGACTACTTCAACTCTCTTCTCACTGGTCATATAATTACCGCGCTCTAATACTAACCTAAAAAGTGCATAGTGCTTATAAAAAAATATAAACAATTAATGATATCATGTAAAATAAAATTGAAATTTAGAATAAAATAAATTAGTGATTCCATAAACAATAATTCAATGTGTAATAATTATATATATGTGCCAATATTCCATCAGTGAACCACATTTAAATTCATGGTGGGATAAATAGGATAAAAAATATTTGATAAATGAAGTCCCAAATCCAAATGTGCTAAAGTGTTCCAATCAAATCAAATATACTCTCCTTCCAATGAATAGTATACTTCAATCTTGCAGCTTTGTCGTTAGTCTGTGTGCCTGTGAGGGATACTCCCTCCTTTGATCCACTCCTTATTTCAATACCTGAGTGTTCCTCGTATGGTTCATGCAAGAAAAAAGAAAAGATATGGTGCCTTTTCCCAAAGATAGATCAAACTTTAATCTGCTTCCATATTGCACTCACGTTATCAACATCATAACGCTTTTATATGCATAAAAAAAACACTGCCTGCGGTGAAGATCGGTCAGTACTCGCCGTATCAGATGTGCTGTGACGTCACTGCCCCTCCCCATCGCGTTGTGCCACAGGGACTGCGTAGCTTCGTCCGGGGGATGATGTGTCAATTGAATTATTGTTTATGGTATCACTAATTTATTTTATTCTAAATTTCAATTTTATTTTACATGATATCATTAATTGTTTATCTATATTTTTTATAAGCACTATGCACTTTTTAGGTTAGTATTAGAGCGCAGTAAGTAATTATATGACCAGTTGATATTAAGCGCACATCCTATGAAAGTGAGCAAGATAACCAGCGATCTAATATATTTTGTATACCTCGGTGGCTCACAAGTATATTAGTTTTCTCTTCTCACTGGCCTACCTCTACACAGACTATACCCCCTTACAGTCCACCGTGAATGCTGCTGCTAGACTCATCGACCTAACTAACTGATCTGAGGCTGCAGCCTGTCTTTGCCAATCCTTCTACTAAATTTCACTAGCCCAATGTACAAGTTCAAAGTACTAACATAAAAGGCCATCCACAGCACTTACCTCCAGCTACATCACAAACCTCATCTTGATATATTGCACAAATCATCAACTTCATTCCTCCCAAGACCTCCTGCTCTCTAGCTCCCTCGTCACCAACTTCCATACTCACCTCCAGGACTTCTCCAGAGCCTCTCCCATCCTCTGGAAATCCCTACCTTATTCTGTCCAGTTATCACCTACCACATCTGCCTTTAGGCAAGCCCTGAAAATGTATTTAAGGAAGTCCTATTACGTCTTTACCCAAAAAACTGGACTTTGACCACCTCCATCAGATCATCCACCACAGCTATGACCTTTTGTACCACCTCCTCCCTTTTAGATTGTGCAGTCCATGAGCAGGGTCCTAATCCTTCTGTATTGAACGGTAATTTAACTGTAATGTCTCCCTTTTTATATTGTAAAGTGCTCCGAAAACTTCTGGCGCTATATAAATCCTGTATGATAATAAATAGCTCACCTGCAACTCAGCCTTTAACTCACTGACAGCAGAACTGATGACTTTGATGTTGGGGTACTGTCTCTCCAGTGTGCTGCCTGCCTTTTCCTCCACATCAAACTCCTCCAGAGTCCGTGACACCTGACACAGAAAGGGGTATCAATGATAGGGGTGGAACTGGATAGGAAACATGGTGAGTATGTAAACAAAAGGTCTCTCACCTGCTTCACATTGGTAGCAGCTTTAATGAGGGGAGCAGTCCCCCCCCCCCCCCCCCCCCCCCCCGGTCAGGAGTAAGACATCGTCCTCTGTAAACTGCAGTGCCAGCTATGAAATAGAGAATAACCATTAATGTGTGTACAGATGTGACTCCACCCAGGAGGAGACTATGTGCTGACTCAACCTAGGAGGAAAGTGGAAGGAGCAAGACAAGCTGTGTGCTGAATCCACCCAGCAAGAGTATGGGCGGTGGGGGCAGGACTGCCAGTATTCTGACACCACCCAGGAGGTGAGCAGCGGGAGTGGTACAGTTTGTGCTCTGACTCCACCCAGGAGTGTGGAAGGGGAAGGACAAACTATGCCAGGACTTCACCCAACAGGGGAGAAAATGTGTTCTAACTTCACTGAAGCAGAAACAAAGTGGAATGACTGTGTCCTGGCTCCACTTAAAAGTGGAGCAGAGGGTGAATATGTCCTGACTCCACCCACGGGGGGGTGACAGAGAGGAAGCAAATGAGTCCTTACTCCTTCTAGAAGAGAATGTATCCTGACTTCACCCAGGAGGAAATTGGGCAGGCCGGTGGGAAATGTGACCTGACTCCACCCAGGAGGGAAGCAAATGAGTCTAGAAGAGAGAATGTGTCCTAACTCCACCCAGGAGGGAAGTGGTGAGGAGAGAATGTGTACTGACTCCACCCAGGAGGGAAGTGGTGAGGAAAGAATGTGTCCTAACTCCACCCAGGAGGGAAGTGGTGAGGAGAGAATGTGTACTGACTTCACCCAGGAGGGAAGTGGGCAGGGTGGTGGGGAATGTGTCCCGGCTCCACCCAGGAGGGAAGCAAATGAGTCCTGACTCCACCCAGGAGGGAAGTGGGCAGGGTGGTGGGGAACGTGTCCTGATTCCACCCAGTAGGGAAGCAAATGAGTCCTGACTCCACGCAGGAGGGAAGTGGGCAGGGTGGTGGGGAACGTGTCCCGATTCCACCCAGTAGGGAAGCAAATGAGTCCTTACTCCTTCCAGAAGAGGAAAGAATGTGTCCTGACTCCACCCAGGAGGGAAGAGGGGGAATGTGCTGACTCTACCCAGGAGGGGAGCAGAGGGGAAGAGGAATGTGCTCTGACTCTACCCAAGAGGGGGAGAGGAATGTGCTCTGACTTCACCCAAGAGGGGAGCAGAGGGGGAGAGGAATGTGCTGTGACTTCACCCAAGAGGGGAGCAGAGGGGGAGAGGAATGTGCTGACTCCACCCAGGAAGAAGGGGAAGGACTGCGTCCTGGCTCCACCCTGGAGGGAAGCAGGGGGAGCTGTATTTTAACTCCAGAAAGAGAACAGAGAAGTAGTATAGGAACAATCTGATCTCACTAGATATAGAAAGGATTAATCTCTTCATCTCTGAACCAGAAGTCTAGCCTGCCACATTCAGGTGGCTGTCCCCTCAGCAACTTCAATTCTCATGCATTTATTCAGCACAAACCATGTGACTAATGCCAAGGCCCTTGTCACATGGCCAGCACCTGAGTGGTAAACCTGAACTTATGAAGAGTTGATTTCTCCCCTCCCTCGTGTTCAGTTCCACCATTTGTCTGCTCCAGCCCAGCACTGCATCCTGGGAGGTCATACCATCCCACCATGACAGGAAGTGGGGGCTCACCAGAACACAGGAAGAGAGGAGAAATCACTTCAGAGGGTCACAGACACAAATAAAATCCCCTCACAAGGTTTGACTCTCCCCCACTCCACCCTAACGTAAACTGGCTGGAGTCTGGTAAAGTAGAACTGCAGTTTTTTCCCCTAGTGAGGAGATTCCCCAGTCCGGTGTTCATATGACCAGATCTGGAGATCCAATGATCCTCCTTCTCCCTCTGTTATTACTGCTCTTCCTCTGTCCTGTGACACGTGCAGGCTGCATACAAAGCAACAAACCCGAGCATCGGTCACATGACCGGCTGGGGTACATCACCCCCTCCCCCAGTGGTTCTCACTTGCTCGGCACAGGTGACTCCAGCAATTCCGCCCCCCACCACCAACCACTTCGCACTCTCAGCCGCCATTATTCTTCCTCTTCCGGGCCACGTGTGCTGCACGGGGCGTGCGCGCCTGTCTTTGCGATGCTCTAATTGGCCGAGGGAATTATGCGTCGTCTCCATGGAGACAACGGGGGCACCACATGCAGAGGACAGCACATGGAGATGTGTCTGTCCGGGAAGATGCGGACTGTCTGTTCCGTCCTCTAGAAGCCATTCCTGCGCCGGTGTCACTGTACACAGAGCTGTGTTCTATCCCAATGCATACCACTCACCTTAGGATTCTATCCCGTTACACGCCACTCGCCTTAGGATTCCGTCCCGTTACACGCCACTCGCATTAGGATTCCGTCCCGTTACACGCCACTCGCCTTAGGATTCCGTCCCGTTACACGCCACTCGCCTTAGGATTCCGTCCCGTTACACGCCACTCGCCTTAGGATTCCGTCCCGTTACACGCCACTCGCCTTAGGATTCCGTCCCGTTACACGCCATTCGCCTTAGGATTCCGTCCCGTTACACGCCACTCGCCTTAGGATTCCATCCCGTTACACGCCACTCGCCTTAGGATTCCATCCCGTTACACGCCACTCGCCTTAGGATTCAATCCAGTTACACGCCACTCGCCTTAGGATTCCATCCCGTTACACGCCACTCGCCTTGTGATTCTATCCCGTTACACTGCACTCGCCTTGTGATTCTATCCCGTTACATGCCACTCACCATAGGATTCTATCCCATTACATACCATTCACCTTAGGATCGGTTCACCCCATAGAAACGCAGTACAGATGTGTTCCTGCATATGCAGTTTTAACGTGTTCCAGTGCGTTTGTGTGTGTTTTTGCTGCATTTCGGTGCCTTTTTTTATGCATACCAGTAAATTTTTTCCCTTCTCTTTTTCCGTTTAAGGCCTCTTTCTCATGGACGTTCCGATCGGGTCCACCTGCCCGTTTTTACGACGGACCCGATTGGAACCTCCATTTTTCTCTATGGAACGGCGCATCATGTGTTCGTTTACATCTGCCTACATCCAATCCGACCCGCAAAAAAGGGATGGATGGGTATCCAATTCCCCTTCCGTCCGTCGAATTGGGTCAGATGGAAATGGACAGGCAGTCTGTTTTCATCCGATCGCACATTGAGGAGAGCGAGCTGCTCTGTGTCTGCTGTGCAGCAGCGGAGCAGACAGAGACCTGTCATCCACTTCTCTGAGGGGATCAGCGGAGAGATCTGTGTTGAGCAAACTTATTCTCTAAACAGGTCCGTCCCATGTGAAAGGACCCTTAATAGGGACGTGCATTCCAGTGCGTTCCAGTACAGTGCTGTGCAGGAAAAATGCAGCATGTTCTACTTTTTTTTCAGCAGCTAGAATGCACTGGAACTGCAAGCACTGATGTGAACTATGACATTGACAACCATATAACCTATGTTCTGTGCTTTTTGGATGCAGAAAAAAGCAACTGCACATGTAGTGTGAACTGGTCCTGAGAGCCAGTTCATGCCACATGCAGTCCAGTGCCATTTTTTTTTCTGCATCAAAAATGCATTGATAATAAGTTACATGGCATAATTCACACCAGTGCAGTCAGTTCCAGGAAAAACAAATAGAACATGCTGCATTTTTCTGCACTGAACTGTACTAGAACACAGTTAAACTCACTGGAACACACACATGTACTTATTTAAGTTGAAGAAAAAAAGAGAGGTAAAAAATGAACCATACAGAAACACATACCGGACTTCATTTCTATGGTGTGAGCCAGCCCTTACACCTTTTCCTCCTTCCTCATGTACACAGGGTGTTTAAAAAAACACCAGTAGCATTAGCATGCGTTTTTCCAAATGTTTTAGTGTTTAGCCATGTTTCTCTGCGCTTGCGTTTTTTTATACAAATAACATTTTTGCTCAAAATAACACCCAAAAAACGGTTTGCTGCATTTACTGCTAAAAAACTTCTCTAGAAACCCACTAGTTCTGGGTTTTTTTTCCAGCCAAAAAACACCCCTGCCAAAAAAATGCTGATTAAAGCCTATGTGTGCATGGACATGTAGGATAACACGCTGGGGAGTTTACTAGCTGTAGAAAAAAAAACCAAAAGCCAAAAACAGCCACTGTAAAAAACGTCCCGTGTGCAGGACTAAATCTGAGTTCTGACCTTTCTACACTGTTCGAACCTTTACCCTGAACCCTATACACTGAACAGAAACTCCAAACCCCCAGACCTCGGGGCAAGGAATCCCCCTCCACTATATACTCACCTATTCTTCACTCCCTCACTGCCAGTACTTCCAGATATTGAGGAGGAATCAAATACCTTCAAATGTCCCGCCCCGGTTCTGATCTACAAACCTCTATACAGAATGTATTGTTTAGATAGTCCATTTATCAATTTAATGCAGTTAGAAGCAATTTGCCTTTGAACATGCGCTCTGTTGCTGGCCCAGGTCCACGCATACACACACACACACACACACTTTATGTGGAAATGTTTAATTACTGTCTGTGCTGGTCCAGCTCCTCCTTTTTCTGGGGTGTCTACTGTCTGTGCTGGTCCAGCTCCTCCTCCCCCACTAACCTCTCCTCTTCTAGGAGTGCCTACATAACTTTTAACGCTGCCTAAGGAGGAGTGAAGTGAAGTATTATAGAGCGTAGCTTGAGGCTACTGGGGCTGCTGACATACACTCTAAATAAATAATAGGCAGCACTCTAAACAGCTAGCATTTTAAATTCATGTATTTATGAAGGGAAGCCTCATGTAAAGACATAAATTGTAGTGCATGCACAAGATCTCACCACAGTTTATCTAGGCAGAAGCAAACTCTCAGCTATAGGCATCATATACAATTTCATTAGAACAGGGAGGAGATCCAGATAAAAAGTACAGCAATTAATAAACAT